TTTTTTAATATTTCGTTTTGTAGATAAATGTGTTATATTTAAATAATTCATTTCGTTGTTCACTTGCATTTTTCTTGCTTGTACAACAGTCTATAATAATTTTTTAAAAGTTTCAATAGTTATTTGCTTTATGAATTAGCTAGGATATAGAAAAATAAAATCCAATATTTCCTAACCAAATCTGTATAAGCATCTGACATCGATCCTTCAAGCATGGAATTTTAGTCCCTTCAATCCCTCAAACAAAAATGTTAGGATCGATTTATGAGATAACTATCTGTTGACATGCTAAAAGTGTAGCTCAAATCAAATAATCCAAAGAATGAAGCCCAACTGAGCAATTCAGGATAAATGCTCAAATAAGGTTATTAATGAATGCAGTGGAAACCCACAAACGCGGTAACACCATCGCCCAAACTTGCAAGACGCCCAAGATTTGAGCGAATAAAGTGCCTTGCAGTCGGCTAGAGTTATGACCCTGTTCTCGTCCAAACCTTCGAATCGCTCAGGATCTTAGCAAATATAAGATGTTATGATTATCCAAAAGTGCAGTTATCGAAACAGTTATTGAGTAATCTTATCACGTTCCACGATTCAAGGAGTTCGGTTGAAAACGGTTGAACGACAAAAAAGTAGTGGCAGCAGTTAGAGACGACAGTTCCACGATAAGTTGGCCACTATGAAGAAAATGGGCAGTTATAAAGTAATTAAGCAGTTTCTAAGTGGTTAATCACAAAAAGATCATCAAGGGAATATAAAAGAAAGAAAAGATATAGAGTAAAAGGACCCCGAATCAAATACTCTCAAACAGAGAATATGTAATTTCAATTTCTTAGTTTAAATTTAAACATTTCTTTTCAGTACTCGTGTGCTTGCGCCCCTTGGAGGCATTCTGTTTAGTTCTAATTGTAAAGTCATCGCCAATAAAGCACCCCTTTTGGGACTTTGTCTCAAGAGGTTTGTTCTTTACACAATCATCTGATCTCTTTTTAATTGTTAGCGACTAGACATGCGAAACACTATCCGCTTTTGATTTTTTCTACATAGTTGGAATGGAAATATGTAACGAAATGGTGAAATTTATAATTAAAATTAAGTTAAGCAATTCAATCAGAACACACTTAATTCAATGATCCAAAGATTTCATCTAAAGTCCAGTGAGAGCACATATGATACTTACCCTTTTTTAATTATATTAACGAATACATTTGTTTATTTATTTATTTTAAGGTATTTATCACAAAAGGTCCCTATCTTTCAATGCTATTGTGCAAAACGTTCATATCTTTCATTTTTACCTCTCCCTTTCACTTTTCATTGCGCAAAAAGATCTTTTTCATCAATTTTTTCAATAAAATAACGATTTTACCTCTTATTCAAATAAAACAACAAGAAAAGATGAATTATCAACTGTAGCTATAGTCCTCAAGTTTTTAAAACATTACAAATAAATTATAAATTTTCCACCACCACCACTTTCACAACCTACCAAGTTGCCACCTATAAATCCACATAGCACCACCTTTCGGCCACCATGCCCACTGGACTCCACCACCACCAAACTCGCCTCACTCCCCTACCGTCTTCCCACATGAATTTGAAAGATTTGAGTGCTTAGAACCCACCAATTTTGCTCAAACAACTCTCGTCGTGCATTGCACCCATAGAGAGTTTTGGACCAGAAATTGAAACGGTTGATGGGATAATTTGTTCAATTAGATTCATACTCATTGTCATTTGGGTTTGTTGATGGTTCGATTGATGCCAATTTGGGAATTTAGTGCTGTGGGATGTACTTGAATTAAAGGAGAAGATTTGACAAAATGGACGTCATCATCGTCGAATGTTCTAGAATTACAACAAAATGATTTGAGGAAACTGTTGGTGGTGGTGCGTGATCGTGGTGGCGCCGAAAGTGAGATTGTCATGAAGGGTTGTATACGACAGTTTGATATTTTAGACTATAAATGTGATTGTTTCGGACAGATCGGTGACCAATATTGTGGAGGAGAATGTTGAAGAGAGTGAGGTGAGGCTGATGGTGATGGAGTCCGACGGGTGTTGTGGTTGGAAGGTGGTGCTATGTGGATTTATAGGTGACGGCTTGGTGGGGTTGTGAAAATAGTGATAGTGGAGAATTTATGACTTATCAGTAATGTTTTGAAAAACTTTGGACTATGATTGCAATTAGTTATTTATTTTGCTTTTCTTTTTGTTTTATTTGAATAAGAGGGTAAAATCGTCATTTAATTGAAAAATAGATGAAAATGACATTTTTCGCAATGAAAGGTGAAAGGTAAGGGCAAAAATGTCAAAAAATGAAACGTATGGACGTTTTGCACAATAATATTGAAAGATAGAAACCTTTTGCACTAATTACACTTTATTTCATGTCGTCAAATTGTTCTGCAATCTTGAGCAGACTCAAGGCTTAAGTGGCATGAAAGTCACGTACATAGACAATTTATTTTTGACAAAAAAATACCATTTATAATATATGTTTGATTAATGAAGTTGAGCACTCTGTATCAGTGTTCTAAAAAGCAAATAGTATTATTAGGTGGCATGCTCAAGCTTTAAGAATTTAGATGAATCCAAAATTAGATTAACGCTGTTAAAGTTTTGAGCTTTGAGCTTAGATTACAAGGAAAAGAAAAGATTTGAGCTTTCTCTGCTATAATACTGTCCAATGCTCGATTAACGCTGTTAAAGTTTGAAGATGTCAAGTTTGTCATGCATTTGAAGTACGACAAAAATTTTGCATTGATAAGCCATAGCTTCTTTACCTCGGCATAAGTGTGCCTCGCTACAAAGTTGCCCATCGTTTGAAGTTCAACGAGGCTTTTTCATCTTTTTTTGCTTCATTCTCTGCAGTTGTTCATATCCTCAACAGGTGTTCGAACTAAAATTACAATTTAACTTTCGAAGTCCTTCTCCTTGCATTTACAAAATGAAACACGAAGAAAAGCACCAAGAGAGAGGCAATGACCAAGAAAACGACTTTCCATGAGGGAAGGCTGAATGAATTGTTGTTTGCGTGCTCATCGTGCGCACTTTGAAGACTCTCCTGCAGTTAATAGCAAAAGATACATTAGTAGAGAGATGTACGTTCCAGTTTTTTGAAAGGAAGGTAAAGGTTTTTGTCGCAAACCATTTACGCTAAAGCTAACACAGCAAAAATAACATCAACATGAAAATTGAATTTTTTTTTCCATTTTAGAAAAGAAACTTAAATGAAAAAACATTTGAAGTTAATAAAGGGAGAAAAAATGGGGTTCTGGCACTCAAAATTCTGAATGGGGGGAGTAATATATTTGGTTATTTGGATGACAAACATGAAATGAGAAAAGAGGGCAGACAATCGAGAAACCACATATCTCGCCACTTCGTTATTAGCAAGCATAGAATCAATAGAATGAAGAATAGAATTAATGTACATGTACATTAAGCTGTATGACGGCCAGAGAGATGGGAAGAGCATATACTTTCTGATTCAAGCCTGAAATCGACCAATCTGCTGGGAAGGCAATGAATTAACAAGTTCTTAAAAAAAATAAAAATAAAAAAAATAAAAAAAATGGAGAGAGAGATCAAATTCTCTTTGTCGAAGGCATTCTTTAGGTAGCACTTTGTGCATCAAAGAATTGGATTTCTTCGCAAAAGTTGGAGATAAGAATACGAGTTATAAGAATGTATAATCTAGTAACCCAAACCATGGTTTGGACTTTGGAATCAAAAATAAAAAGTACACTATTGGATTTGGTAGTCGCACTATTGACTCTGAAACAACGAAACTAAGCCTTCATCCTAATAGTATTGCTCTGGAAAAAACATGAGTAAAATGACATTAGTGCAAAGAGTGCAATTATACTATCTAAAGCTCCTTATGTCCAGTCATGGGGCTTGAGAGATATATAGAAAAGTAGAGGCGATTGTTTTCTTTGTCATATCTAATGCAAAATTCCCTGAATTATAAATGAGAAATTTCCTCATCCTTACCCTCCTAAATCGAAAGACAAGCCAGCTCCATGAAATATAGCTCTCAGAAGATAATAGCCAACATGACTGTAATCTACCCGAAAGTTTACCAAATCATCCCAATTATTTTCAACCTCTTTCAAATGTTGAGTATAAACTATCCACGTATTAGTAACTGCACTCAATCCCCTATGTCTATATATATATATATATATTATTCACAGTTCTATTTCTATAAGATGTGAAACTTGAAACTTACTGCACGAACCATATTCTGCACCATAAGTGCCCGTTGCTTTGCAAAGATGTCCTGAGCATAACTATACAGTTGCATATCTAGGCTGTTCAGTAATTTAATTTCCTGGAGAAGCAGTTCCGGTACCTTACGACGAGCCTGAAAATTGTTATGCTAATGATGTCAATGGCAAGGATGGGGAGAGCACATAACATAATGACAGTTACCAAGCAGTCAGCAAATTGAAAGGCTGAAACTTAAGCTATCATACCTCTTTTGTAAAGTTTGCAGGAGAAATTCTTTTCAAAGATTTCACGCGTCGCTCTGATTGGGAGTTCCTTAAGCTTGAAATGCAGGACTCATATGCTTCCATAAGTTTTCCAGCATCCATCTGTTACAGTGGCAGGGAGAACTTAGCCTGCTAAAATGAAAATAAAAGAAACGAAAAGAAGGGGGAAGATCCCAATAGCACGAGAATATTCAAGCCATTGCAGGGGGGTGTACATTAATATTTGCTGCTGCATCCTTACTAGCTGATGATACTTTCGCTAGCTTTCTGTAAGTGTCCTGTAATTTGGCAAAATGAAATATAACAATACCAGAATTTCAATCTCGATTATTATCAGAAGCAAAATTGCAGTCAGTTCTCACTTGATGATTTGCATCGGATGTGGAATTCGGAAGCAAGGATCTGTGTTCTGTTAGCAGAAGTAGAACATGGTTTAATATAAGCCACTATAATGTAGGTCAGCTCAAATTTTAAACATTTATCTAATACATTGTTAAAAGGATAATTATTTCGATCAAAACATTTATCAAACCACAATGATCTGAAAACTAAGTCCAGCTATGTTAGGCAGAAGTTGATTAACTGATATAACCAGTTCTTCTCAAATGGGAGCCCGTTCAGACATCAACCAGCTCTAAGATTAAAATATGATGTTCTTAGAGTGAAGGTAACTAAACCCTTTTTTTTATTTTTGGCAACTTGCATGTTCAAAAGCCCGATGATGCATCGAAGTGAAGATATTCAGAAACATCATTGTCAAGCAAACAAGAAATTAGTAACACGGGAGCCTGAAGTTATATAACATCCAAGACTTAAAAATTCCCTTTCAAGCTCATCTTTGATTTTATTAGTTGCAATGAAGACATAATTGACAGGTTATTCAGACCAGTTACTTCCGATTACTGACCTGAACCATTATTAATGGCAGAATCTGAACTGGAGCTTGATTTTGTCAACTGAGCTATCACCTGTGCACCAACTAGATTTGAGAACAAAGTGGCTGACTCTCTATGATTCTCAGTAAGACCGACATACAACATACTATCCAATCTCTTCTGCAAGATTTACAATGATCTACTACGATTCAAACCATAGAATAAGGAAATAAATCAGAAAGACAGTATTAATATTCCATGTAATGCATGATTGTGGGAACCTTTTATAATTACCTTCACAACGTCAAGCACATATTGACCAAGACTCTGATACTTTAGTACACAATGGCGCACTTCATGTGATTCGGCTAAATAAGAGTTGTTTGTAAGTCCTGCAATCTATGAATCATAAAATAAATCAGTGAAGTGAATAATTTTGAAGTCTAGATTAGAGACACAAGGTCTGAGAAACACACCATAGATCACAAATGACATGTCAACAATTATCATCTATGTAACCGTCTCTCACTATTCACTTTGCATCCCAGCACATCTATCTCTCAGTGGCCAGATTTAGGACTAAATCTTGGACAATGAGGCACTAACTGCTTCAATGCTGATACAAAGTAAAATTGCATAAAATATTTTTCCTACATCCTCAAAGACCATATGTTATAACTTCCATTCCATGCCAGCTATTTTTATGTATATTACATAATGCACAAGTACTGCACAATTTTCACGATGATCAAATACTTAAGATTGTGTCCCCAAATTCACAGCATAACAATATTGTCATGAGCTTTCTACGTCAATTTCAATATCTAAATCCCACCTTCAAAAATGCTAAAGAAATTATTGCATAAAGATTAACAGCATGTTTGGCAAAGCTTAAATTATAATTTGGGCCAGTCAAAATACTTTTTATCCACATGTTAACTTACTATCTACTTATAATCCACACATCCTATAGGACCTGCTGCTTATAAGCACTTAAAAGATCTACCAAACAAGCACTAAGACCTAAAGAGCAGTAGACTACAATACCTGAAAGGTGGCCCCATTGTGGATGATGTCTCGAGCAATAGGATCATTAATATAATCACGTAGAGGCATCAAAATTTCTTCCATGTCGTATGAGCGATTACTTCTGATATAAGAATGGCTTTTGCTAATTCTAGCATCCCTCTGCCATATAAATATAAAATAATACGTTAGAATATGATATTCAATGAAAAGCCATAAAAAACTAGCATCACGATGGTGCAATTAATCCAGAACGAAACATGAAAACAGCAAATCAAGATCTTAGAAATTTGTGATGCAAGAGAATGTTTGTAATCCCAGACATTGTTTCACTGGCAAAATTCAACATTATATGATTCACTGCTGGCTTGAACAGATAATAGAATCATGACAGATGCCCAGTTCAGTAATTACTATTAACCACTATATAATAGATGGAGTGAGTGGGGAGGACCTGATAGCAATCTTTTGAATAAATTAGTTTAAAGATTTCCAAACACTACAATGAGCATGACGAGACACATTGAGAACCCAGAAAATATCATACTACAGTGTACTTACTCCTAATTTTGTCCAGACCCTTCACTGTCAGATGGAAATAGAACTTCTTAAAAAAGATACAGCAACAGTATAAATTAATTGAAAAATTCTAATTTCCCTTTACAGAAAATTCTTTTCAAGAATCAGGTTAGTCAATTGATATATATTCAGAGGATTGATAGGGAATAGAAATATGAAATGGAATTAATAAAGAGAAGTGGCAAGAAAAAAAATAAAGCTGATCTGAATGCTTATCCCATTCCTAAAGACCATGACACCTGGAAGCAACTAACTATACCTGCAAATATTTAATCCTAGCTAAGATGGATAGGGCATGCCGCCTGAAGGACAGGCATTCATTAAAATAAGTGTTTCATGGCTAGAAATAACAGAGTAGATTAGATTAAGAAGGCACCATTTACGTGACTTCAATTAGCTAGTTTGACAAAAATCAACGAGGTTAAGGTGTGATACAACTGTTAAGTTGTCAGAATAAAGATGTTGGAATCCTAATATCATGATTTTGCTTCAACTACAACAAAATGCACTTTACTTGATTGAGAATTTGCAGAGAAAAATACACAAAATAAATAAATAAATAAATAAATAAATAAAATCTAAAGAATAATTGTGAAAAGATGAAAGAGGAAAAAATTCCATAGAGGAAGTTTCCAATACAAGTTGCAAAACATACTCGAGCAAAAAGATCTTCTCTCATCCAAGGGACCAAATATTTCCATGGCCAGATATCCAGTGTGCTTACTCCACCTGCCTTCATACGTGCACGTTTCGCCATTTTTGATAGAGATGTTAAGTCACGGTGTATCAAAAACCTAGCTGCTACCTCCACCGAAAATTCATAAGTGCTAAAGACACGGTCAATAGGATTTCTGAGCATTGTAACCACTGAAGTTTGCTCCTTGGGAAGTTTGACCATCATGCTATAGTCATCATGTGTACTTAATAACCGGCAGTTTGATTTTCTGCTCATTAAAACAAAATAAATAGCTTAGATATCTTGAGAAAAAAAGCATATAATATGATGAATGAGTTATTGCAATGGAACCAGGAGGTAGCATCATCTTTCCATTGTGCTGATATATGACGAGTCTTGATAGTTATGTATAAGCAAAGCACATCAGCAAACATTAGTTATATCTACCTAGAACCATCAAATAGAGAAATATATCCCCTTAGACGACAACTATAATAATCAAGTGAAAATTATCCATTCAATCAGTCTGTTTCAGCATTTATATATGTCTT